TTTGAGTTGGAGTCTCATTCCATCGCCCAGGCTAGAGTGCAGTGGCATGCTCGCAGCCACCCCAGTGTTGACCTGCTGGGCTCTGGTGGTCCTTCCACCTCAGCCTTCCAAGTAGCCGGAACTACAGGTGCATGCTACCATGCCCAGATAATTTTTTAAAATTTATTGCAGGCCGGGCTCAGTGGCTCAGCACTTTGGGAGGCCGAGGTAAGTGGATTGCCTGAGCCCACAGGTTCGAGACCCACCTGGGCAACTTGGTGAGACCTCAATAAATCAAAAATTAGCCAGGTGTGGTAGCGCACACCTGTAGTTCCGGCTACTTGGAAGGCTGAGGCAGAAGGATCATCAGAGCCCAGCAGGTCGAGGCTGCGGTAGCCGGGAGTGGCCACTGCACTCCAGTCTATGTGACTGAGTGAGACTCCAACTCAAAAAAAAAAATTTATTGTAGAGAACAGGGTCTTGCCGAGTTGCCTGGGCTAGTCTCAAACCCACGGGCTCAGGCAATCTACACGCCTCAGCCTTCCAAAGTGCTGGGACTACAGGCTGAGCCACCGCACCTGGCCTGTTGCTGTCATTTATAGCCTAATGGTCTCTCTTGGCAATTTTTCTGTTTAACAAATTCTTTCTGCTCATTCTTTGTAATGACCTTTTGATAACTGCGTATAATCCCATTGTATGGATTTAACCTGATTTAGAACTAATGCTCTATGAATGAACAGTTTGCTAGTTTCCAGTTTCTAAATACTGTTTTTTAAGTGCTCCAATGAGCATTCTTGTACCTATATCGTGGATATTTGAAACCATCTCCTCAGGATAGCTTCTGAGTTCTTTTTACCCAAACATTTTACCCAATATTTGTTCAGAACGGTGCTCTTCCCCTGCAAAATGTATGACAGGGCTCCTTTCTTCCTTCAAGACTATCTCAGCTCTGGATGTCAGCAAATGTTAAAAATTTCTACTCAGCCGGGTGGAGGAGAAAGGCTTATTGCTTCAATCTGTATTTCTGTAATGATGAATTTGGACATCTTTTCATATGTTGATTTGCCATTTGTATTTCTTTTTCTGTAAAGTGCTTCTCCATCCTTTCTCATTCTTCTATTGGCACCGGACTTACTTAGGGTTTTTGCAAATTAAAGAAATTTGCCCATTGGATGTTGGCTGCATATTGCAGTTATTGGTTTCTCTGCTTTGTGATTTATTTCCATACAAAAGACTTTCATTTTAGGTGATTCAATGTGTATATTTATTTAGGTGATTAAATATATATTAACTAATATATATTGGAAATATATATATTCCTTTTTTAAATTCTAAAATTCCTAGAAAAGCATTATTTCAAGGATGTAAATAAACTTATCTGAAATTTCTTCTAGAATTTTTTTTCTTCTTCACATGTAAATATGTGATAATCAGGAATATATTTGGGGGTAAAAAATGAAATAGATATTCAGCCTTCTTTCTACCCTACAATCAGCCAATTGTGTGAATTTCATTTAATGAATAATATCTCTTTTTTTCTCACTAATTTGGAATGCCAGTTTTCTCATAAACTAAGTTCCCATATATATTTAGGTCTGTTCCTGGATATTTTATTATATTTTATTAACCTATTTATTTTCCAATACTGAATGGTTTTAATTATTGTAGTTTCATAATATGTTTTAATACTGAGTAATAATGGCCACTTTTCTCCAATTATCTGTTCCAAAATTTTCCTAACTCTTCTCTCATGTTTATTTTTCCAGATAGCATTGGTATCATTTTAGGCTAATTTTAATTAAGTTAATCCATGACAAAGAGAATGACACATCTGAGACTGCTGCTCATTTCTGTCCTAGTGTCCTAAGAGATAAATATACCTTAGGAATGAATAGGTGGAGGGAGTAATGATTGACTCGAGAAATATAAATAGATTTTAATTGGTTGACTATGTCTGAGATGTAATAAAATAAATCAGTAGGGAAAGAAACGGCTAAAAACCATTTTTCTTTCTTTCTTTTTTTTACCTGACTCTGATCTGAGTTGAGATGAGGGAGATGGATAGACATGAAGGGTGGTTTATATCATAGGCATTCTAAGTGAAACAAAATAATTTCATCTTCTGGAATAATAAAACCCGAATATATAATCCTATTTTCTCCAAGTAACTAGTCACATGTAAATGAAGTTTTTCTCTTGGAGGGAAAACAGCATAACAGCATATTAAAGTGCAATTCCTAAAAGCAATGGAAGCAGTTTTCAAGTTCGTATGTAAATGGGGATGGAAGTGGAAAACAAATTAGCTGTCGTGCGCCAGCCGTCACGTGTGGCACTCGTGCCACTTGGTGCGGGTGTTAGGTGACTGTGTCTTTGTACGTGGCACTCTGCTCCATCATTCACTCTCGGGAAATGCATTTAACAGAAGCTCCCCGGGGTCTCTTCAAAGGTTGCAATTGACTCATCACAACTCTAGCGCCTAAAAGGAAGGAAAAAACTCATAAAGATTCCTGCAGGCAACGTGGAACCCACAAAATCCTTTCTAGAGAGGGTTGTCAGATAAACTACAAGACACCTAGTGGGGGGGAAATTCTTTTTTGCACAGTTAAATGTGCGTGTCAGGTAAACAATGAATTTTCTTTGAGTATGTCCATGTCCCCGATATTGTAAGCTCTGGATTTAGCACAAGTATATCCCAAATATTGCATGGGATTTTCTTACACTAAAACATTCTGTGTTGTTTATCTGAAATTAAATGTTGCCGAGTGTTCTGTATTTATGCTTGCTCAATCTAGCAATCTTATTTCTATGTCACATTCCTAGAAATTTGATCATATGTTAAATTCCTCCAGTTATAATGTGCTTATTCTCAGAGAAACCAAAACCAAAAGAAACCAAGGGAAAAGAGATTATTTTCTTGCATATTTGCCCCAGAGGACAAAATAGAAACTTGATGGAGGTCATTTGGTTTAGGGGACTCCAGAGCACTTGATTAAACTTTACAGCATATGAATCACTTGGGCACTTTTTTTGTTTGTTTTTTTGAGTTGTGGTCTCACTCTGACACCCAGGCTAGAGGGCAGTGGCACGATCAGGAGTCACTGCAGCCTCGACCTCCTGGGCTCAGGCAATCCTTCCACCTCAGCCTCTCAAGTAGCTGAGACTACAGGCATCTGCCACCATGCCCAGTTCATTTTTTTATTTTCTGTAGAGATGAGGTCTTGCTGTATTGCCCAGGCTGATCTAAAACATCTGGGCCCAAGCAGTCCTCTCGCCTTGGCTTCCCAAAGTGCTAGGATTATAGGCGTGAGCCACTGCACCCACCTGGGTACTAGTTAGGTAGGTCTTGAACGGGGCTCAAAAGTCTACATGTCTAATAAACCCCAGATGATGCCAATACTGCTTGTCCTTGGACCATACATTGAGTAGCAGCTGAGATGAGTTTCTCCTCCCCCGGAGAAAGAGAGTTTGATGCAGGTAATTGCTAACTTGGGAAGTTTTAAAACATCTGATAGAAGAAATATTGACTAAATGTTGCTCTGTGTTTTTTGTTTGTATTTTATCACAGGTGCTGGCCAGCCTACAACATTGTGACGTGGTTTTCAAGCTTCCAAATCACTCCCCATTTTTTTATTGAGGGGGATCCCCTGGCAACCACTTAACAAAATCCCAAGTTCAGGGGCTTCCCAGCATTCACTTAATCTCTGAAAGGCTCTTCTAAAAGGTGGCATCTGTTCTTCTGTAGCACAGTGTTTGTGTTTTTCCTGTTTTGAGAGTTTTGTTTTGTTTTTGCATTTGCACCATATATGCAAACACATATTGGGTTGTAATAATCCTGAATAGTTCAAAAAAGGCTTTAGCATGGTCATACAGGCTTCTGGTTTCAAATGTGCTATTCCCCTCATTGGGGACTAGCTACATGATGCCGTAAACCTGGTTTGTTTTAGAATTTCTAGGAATGAAAAACTTTATGTTTACAGAATTGAACTGCAGAGAGTGCAAGACATGCCAATTTGAGACACGTGGTCTTTTGAGACAGAAGAATATATTTAATGCATTTCAGACATTAAACATTACAGTGAGCCCAGTCTCTGAGCTATAACTTGTTTCTAATGCAAAGTCACTAGTCTGATAACAGATATTGTAATCGTGAAACTTTTGTGTTACTTACCTTTTGAGGTAGAAATGATACCAATAAATTACTGCACCGTTAGTATTAGATTCTGTGTACCTTGGAAGTTATGTCATTAATATAGGCTGGTTCATCCAATAAAGAGAACCCTTGCAGTATCAGCTACACTTACACTCTGGGACATTACCCATGGGTAGGAAGAAACCAGAGGGAAATATTTCAGTCATCATTCCCCAAGTTATTACCAAAATCTATGAGGAAGTTTGATCTTCCAAAGAGCCATGGGTTGATGACAGCCATGAGGCCTGTGTTGCCTGCTTCCTTTCCAGGCATGAGATTCGGAAGGAGTCTGCAATGACAGACTTAGGAGGCACATGGAATTTGAGGCATTGAGATAAGTCTGTCATTAGGTGTGGCCACTGCTCACCGTTGTCTGCAAGTTCTCCTTGAGGGTCTGAAGCACAGGTATCCAAGGAACAGCATTAAGGCCATCCTGATAGAATCCCAATGATATATGATGTGTTAAACCACGGCTGTGTCAACATCAAGAAGCCATAACTGAAACCATGCCTCGCCCGCTTTGCTGGATATGTCTTTCCTATCAAGAGTCCCAGACCTTGCTCATGGAGAAGTTTAGAGAGGAACTCTTGTGGAGAGTCGGTTGATCTTCTGCCCTATATGAGGAGTTTCAGCTGGCCAAGAAAGGAATCAAGTTACTAAAAAGCATCACAATTTTGATCTCCAGGCTGGCGTTATTTTTTTTTTTAGGACTGGGGAAAGGGGGAAATATTTATTCTGCCTTAAATCAATGGCAAATAAGTCAAGATGACATGTTGTGAATGTAGACCTATGAGTACACTCCTAATAGATTAATGTAGTCGTAAGAGGTGGTCAAGTAGATGTTTTTCTGTTATGTAAGCAATAATATTTTTCTGTGTTTTATTGAGTATGGCTAGCAATTATTTATTTACATGCTAGGTGGGTTCTTTGCATGTGGATTTCATGTAGGTGCAGAAATCTCCTCAGCCGCTGGAGGTATTTTGACCATTTTTGTCATTTGGAAAAGTTGTTGTTAGATTGAAATCTACACATCATTTCATTAAAAATTGTGCCTTAGAAAAATGCAAAGCTGTTGCACAGAGTCAGTGATGATTATGGATGCAGTACCTTGGAGAGAGATGAAGTCGCTTCCAAGTTTCCAAGACTTCTCATGGAGGTGTTTGCTGTTTTACAGGAAAAAATAAAAGAAAAAGAAAAAAAAACCAGAAAAAGTTAAAAAGAAAAAAGTTTTAAAAATGTACAGATTACGTTCAATATTTTGATTAACCACCTGCATGTTTTATTAAATATTTTGATAATGTGGATGTTTACACTTTGCATGATATCAGCAGAGTAATCACAAATAATGCACAAAACATGTACAATATGGTCATTCATAACTGGTTTTTCTAGGACCCTTTTTACACGTGGAACTCCATCCGTTGTGTAAGGAGTACATGAATATGGCACATCCTCTTCCGGTTTCACAAACCCATTTATACATATCTCTTAGAAGACACATTGTATAGGTATCGAAGCTAGAATCAAGTAAAGAAACAGAAAGCCCCATTCTCCAGCTGAAAAATGTGCTTCTCATCATGAATACTAGTCACCAGCACAGAATAATCTCGAATGTTTTCTAAATTCTAATTGCCAACTGTTTCTATTTATATTTGATTTCTATTTCATTCAGAGTCTGTTACATGGATGTTTAGGCTGACTAGATATTGTGTTTTTTCCAACAGAGCGTAATGAGTATGATCTATTTCTTCGCAAATAATCTTTGAGATCACAGGAGGAAAAAAAATGCTCTGCTCTGTTGAGCTATAATGTAAATGTGTTTGTTTAAAAGACAGATGAGGCAAGTGAGTGATTTATTGTTCCTGAGGAAGTATATCTGATTTTGTTTTCCTCATATTTCAAAAGCTAGTTCTTTCCCTTTCTTAAAAAAAAATGGGTAACTCTGATTTTCACTAGCAAACTTTCATGACATTTCTTCATTGTTTCTATGTAGTGTTATTAATGCAATACATATTATAGTTATCTATACACAGTGTAAGATTTAATGAACTGAAATGATCCACCTCATATGTGAGTCCGTCCAAAAGATGGTCCCATTCCGGATGGGCCGATGGTCTCTATCAGTTACACTAACTTTCGTTTAAAATATTTATTCTAAAATGCCTCTGAGAAATAGTAAAAAGATAAAAATAAAAAGTTGTCTAAAATGCAACAGCTTTTATAGTAAATGTACATTTATAAATAAAATACTCAAATCAACTTTGTATTCAATTCATTATTTTTGGAGGGGGTGGGTGGTGGTTTTCTTAACTCAGAGATGAGAGACTCAAGCTCTCTCTTGTGGCTTTTGGTCCAGAGTCCATAGACAGATGATGGCAATGATGCACGCTTGCATACTGATGCATATTTGAGGTCAGTTGTTTAAGGCAAATTAAACTCACCAGCTGATCGGAGGGGGTCACTGAGACATTGCCTTCCATGGGAGAATTTCAACTCCTTGAGATGAGACATGCAGTAACCAGGAGAGACCACACAAATGCCAGTGGAAGTTGTCTGAAACAACCAGATGATAATCAGCTTGTAGCACCGGCAAGGGAAAAACATGGCAGCCCTTTGAAATCCCTGTCCCCTGAAGCTTTCCCCAGCACTGCCCCGCGGTTCCCCACCTCTGTGGTCTGCTTCACTAAGGGCCTTTTTCTCTGTTATTGAAGCAGGAAATATGCTGGGAGACAGTGGTATTCTGCTGACGGGTATCTTGCACTCTGTCTCAAATTTGTAGGTGGTGGTCATAGCAAGCAAATCCCTTGAAATCTTTAGTTGCTTTAAGATGTAATATTCAAATTGCCATCACAAGTTGTATTCTTCTTTTTGCAAACTTTGGTGGACAGTAGCAGCAGCTGCTGTTTTTATAGAAAAGTGAATTCATAAGAGAGTTCTAGTGTTATCAAGGCAACTCAATATATTTATTATGATTTAAGTAAAAGCCCATTCAACTAGAATACATTACAAAACAAAGAACATTACTCTAATACGACATCTATAAAGAATATATTTATTAAAAATTTTACCTCAGATATGTTAAACTAACTTTCCTTCCATTGACTTTCTTCAAGACCTAAGGACTCCTTTTAGAGTCCAAAGGTAGACCACAAAGTTTTCCTTCCCTATCCTTTAATGTTATATAAGGCAGGGATTACACATTCAAAGACCAGTTAGGCATTATAAATGAGAACCAGAAGAGGCAATAGAGAATGGTATGGACTATGGCAAGCTGGAATAAAGAATAGTTCTGTCCAAAAAAAAGGAGCAGCTACTGGCTCCATCCGATTGTTTTCATGTGAAATCTCCAGTTTTTAAATGTTGACACAATTCCAAACAGTGTCATCCAAAATTGTGGGGCGTAACGAAATATATCTGCAAATCCAATTTTGTTCTCAGACCACCCATTTGCAACCTGTAGCTCGGTCTTCTCTTTGCTTTTCCATCAGCTGGTACTTTCTTGCTCTGCTTTGAGTCATTTCATTTGACAAACATGTCAAGAAGAGGCCACGTAAAATATATGCCTTTCAGAATGTCTTGGGTCACACCAAGAAAGAAGTCAATAGTGCCATTTGCCAGTGGGTGATGTTGCTACAATTCATAACACACTTGGGTAGCATTATTTTGCTTTGTCTTCAAAGATTGCTATTTAACAAGCACACATGTTCAGTGTTTTGCCCAACTGTGTCTTTCGCCTTAATAGTTTCATTCTTGCTTCTGAGTGACTCAAAAGGACAGAACAATGTGCAAATAGACAAAGTAGAATTTTTCTGAAATTTGTTTAAAATCATTTTATCAAATGCACCTTTGCCAGCAATGTTTTGTCAAATAGCATTTCTGGCATGCAAGAAGATAGATGTATGCCTCTCCATTTTACAGGTGAGAAACTGAAGTGTAAGAGGGATGACATTATTCTGGAGGATTATGAGAATTTACATAAATGTGTATTTCACCAACTGTTTCCCAATCAGGACTGATCAGAATAGTGTCCCATTCAACTGTTCCTGGCTCCCACGTCTGGGACCTTATAAAAGACCAACTAGGGAGGTGAGGTGGCTTACCCTGCAATCCTAGCTCTTTGGGAGGCTGAGGCGGGAGGATTTCTTGAGTCCAAGAGTTCGAGACTAGCCTAGGCAACATAGAGAGACTTTGTCTCTACAATAAATAAAAAAATAAGCTGGGCATCGTGGAACACATTTGTAGTCCCAGCTACTTGGAAGACTGAGGTAGAAAGATTGCCTGAGCCCAGGAGGTCCAGGCTGTAGTGAGCTGTGATTTTGCCACTGCACTCCAGCCTGGGTAACAGAGTGAGACTCAGACTCAAAAATAATTGAAAACACCAACCAACCCTGGGCATAGCTGGGGCCTTGACAAGATTTCATCTGCACTCAGACAAAGCCTAGAACATTATTTTCAAAGTCAACTCACAAAAAATAAATACTCGAATGGACTTAGTATTTGTCTTAATCTGTTTTGTGATGCTAGAAGGGAGTACTTGAGGCTGAGTAATTTATAAAGAAAAGGTTTATTTGGCTCATGATTCTGCCATGTAGAAAAGTTCAAGATTGGACATCTTCATCTGGTGAGGACCTCAAGCTGTTCCACTCATGACAGAAGGTAAAAGGGAGCCGGTGTGTGCAGAGATGGCATGGCAAGAAAGGACACAAGAGTGGGCAGGAACAGGTGCCAGGCTCTAACAAACTGCTCTTGTGGAAACAGGGTGATAACTCACCCTCGAGGGGAAGGCATTACTATTCATGAGGGATCTTCCCACATGGAAATTCTCCCCCCAGGGGAGGGCATTAATCTGCTCATGAGGAATCTGCTTCCCTGACCCAAACACTTCCCATTAGGTCCCACCTCCAACATTGGGGATCACATTTCAACATAAGGTTTAGAGGGGACAGACATCCAAGTTATCACAGGATTCCATTTTTCCTCTTGGGATTGGATTTCCTTACTCCAGGAAGAAATGCAGAGCTCTCCCCTGTGGCATGCTTTGGACACTTTAGCATTAGCTGGAATGGAGGCTGAGGAGCCTCTATGTTCCAACCACACCCCTGGTCAGGACCCACTGACCTCTCCCCACAGCACATACCACCTTCAACGCCTCCTTCTCCTCCCCTAGTCTGGTCCAAAGCCAGGAAGAACCAGCCATGCCTGACAGATAGTATATTAGCCCAGCCCAACTTTGGTTGCACAGCCAGACCTCAGCTTTCTCAAACTCAATGGCCAAGGTCTGAATGAAGGAAAGGACTCCTTCTAACCACCCTGATGGGCAGAAAACTCTGAGAGCACCTGTGATATAGTGATTGGTTATGCTTTTGTCCAAATCCCTAACTCATAATTCCCATAACACTTGTTACAGTCTTTTGTTAACAATGTTGGGGCACTTTAGGTCCCAGGAGCAGGCCTTAGGAAACATAATCTATCGTTAGCCTTCTCCTATCTTCCATTTACCTGCCCAAGGCAGGAATCTAATCTGATTTTGGGTCAAAAAACCGTCATTCCAGATAAGGTCCTGCCCCATATCCCAGAGAAAGGAATGCTGCACAGAGAGTCCCAGAAAAGTGTGAACAGACAGGCCTTGCTGGATTTAAGTAATGAGGTTTTCGTCCAATTACATTTCTATGTGGTTGTTAGTCATGCCCACGTCACAAAGCCTCCAGACAAAACCCAAGAGGACTGGATTTGAAGAGTTCTGGATCCTGGGAGTTGGCACACCCAGGGAAGGCATGGAGGCTCTGCACCCCTCCCCCATGTTTGGCCCTGGGCATCTCTTCACCTGTATCCTTTGTAATATCCTTTATAATAAATTGGTAAATGTAAATAAGTGTTTCCCTGAGTTCTGTGAGCTTCTCCAGCAAATTAATCAAGCCCAAGAAAGGGGCCATGGGAACCCCAGCTTGAAGCCAGTCAGAAGTTCTGGAGGCCTGGACTTGTGACTAGTGTCTGAAGTGGGGACAGTCTTGGGGCACAGAGCCCTCAACCTGTGGAATCTGACACTATCTCCATGTAGATAGAGTCCATTAAATTGGAAGACACCCAGCTGATGTCCACTGCAGAACTGACTGCTCACTTGGTGGTGGGGAGGAACCCCCCCCCACACACACACAAACTTGGTTACAGACATCTTCCTGTATGTTGACGATTTTTATTTTTGTTGGGTAAGAGAATAGGAAAAAGTACTTTTGACCATGTTTGAGTTTTTTCTCTAAACAGCATCCCACATTGATTCATATATTACAATATTGTTTCACTGCAGACACCTTGACACATGAATCCAGGTGTTTGTTTTTCTGCAGGAATAATGACTTTATTTATGAAAGCCTGTGTCCCTTATTGTTCACCAGGTAGGTAGAGGATTATTACAGCAGGCCCTGTGGGTTTAGAAAACACCTTGGCTGAGAGCAACTTCCTACAGCTATAGGAAGCCCCATCAAGCATTTTATCAAGCAGTACACACCCCTGTCTCTTTAATATGGAATCAATTACTGTCCCAGTTTGGATCCTGGAGCATTCAACACCCCATCCATACTGAATCCATGAAAAATTGTGATGATAAGTGGGTTTCGTGTTTTCTAATACTTCGAAAATTTTGAGAAATTTCATCTCGTTTATACAAGAACAATCTGGGAAATGTGAAATATTTGGTTAGACAAATGGAGAATGCCCTTTCTGAGATGATCCAAGAAAGTGTTGAAAAAAGGAATTACCAATTTGCCTGCCAAACAGTAAGATTTACTGTAAAGATAATAAATGAAGTCTATCTCTTAGGTAAGAATTGATAAACTAATTATAACAAGCAGGATATAGCTCAAAAACAGACCCAAATAAACATGAACATTTTAGTTAATGATAATAATAGTATCACAAGTAAGTGGCTAAGAGAGAAAATTTGATTAACATCACCTCTTTCCCATAAAATTAATTCCAGATGGAATAAAGGGTTAAGCACACACTCAGAAATATAAACAGAAAAAGAAAGAATAAGTTTTAATATGCTTAAATACATACCCAATAGAGAGAATTTTAAGCAAAACCTTAAGACTAATGAAAAATAGGAAAATAATATAAAAATTATTAATATTAATAACATGTGAAAGCCTTTCACAAGTCAATAGAAAATGTGTACAGGGGCTGAGCACAGTGGCTCAAGCCTGTAATCGCAGCACTTTGGGAGGCTGAGGTGAGAGGCTTGCTTGAGCCTAGGGGTTCGA